AGCCTTAGTGATTCTGTGATTCTGTTTGATAAAGGAGTATAAATATCACCTTATATGCAGTTGCTTCCTTCCCTCCCCTCCTAAGGTGAGACATATCAGCACAAATGGAGGTATGACTGAGGCACAAACACCAGACTGCATTAATAGGACTGACTTACTCCAAGTCTCAGAAAATTACCAGCAAGACAATTGTGGCAGGAGCAAATTTCACAGAAGTGAAATGATTTCACAGCGTGTCGGTCGAGCTGAGCAAACTGGTATGGCTGCATGCTATTTTCCATTATAATTTTTCTTGTTTTCAGCTGAGATGGAGTTCTCTTCCATCTGCCCAAATTAATTTGATGTGTATTATAGAATCTATGATTCTGTGACTGCAGCATGCAAAACTTTGTTTTACAGAACAGTCTGAGAAAGGTCTGTGTGGAGAACAGAAATGGAGATTTTCCAAACCACCCGTGACCAAAGTCAAGCTGGGGCTTCGTTTGGAACAACATGAACTTAGTGTTATACCAGAGGTAGACACACCGAAGAGTTGCAACATTTCTTTTACAGGTAAACTATAAATTAGAAAGGTACAAAATACATGTAACAAATGCTGCTGTTCCTGAGAAATACAGGTGGGAGGAAATCAATCTCTTTATGAAGAGTCTGAGATGATTGATTATGAAATTATAGCTGATACTGTTACCTTTTTTAAGGTATAATTTAAATACTACTGAAGTGAGTTATAGTTGAGAGAAGTTTATCCTATCAGTATCTGTCTAAAAAAAAAAAAATAACCAAAACAATTTCACCAAGAATAGAAAATTCACTGTTAATTCCATGACTTAAGTTCCCTGTTGATTTTTCTGTTGGACAGGGTCTGCGTTAATAGACAATTGCACAGTAATTGTAAAGTGAACCATCTGAGCTGATGAAAAGTGATTTAGGGTTAGCTTAGTATCAAGTTCCTATGGACATTTTTAGACCATCTTTTTAGTTTGGGGGTTTTTTTTAATTACAGAACTCTAAAAATTTGGGAGAGCAACTACACAAAGCTGTTATTTTTCTAAGTATGTTTGTTACAGTCTGCACGCAGTGCTTTGTAATTCTCTGTAAGGAACGTTAACAGGTACAGGAAGCTGATGCTTTCTAAATGTAAATGTGATTTTTGTTTTAAAATCTCTTCATAGCTAAAATTTAATGCATATTTTGTAAAAGTTTTAATGCTGTGGCAGTGTTTTTGAAAGGGCTGAGCAGAAGAATCTGAGTAACTATAGGCTTGTTAGGCTAGCATTGAACTTGAGCAAAATTCTGAAACAGCTGATATGGGACATCTTTAATTAAAGTCATTAATGCTAGTCAGTGTCATGTTATGCAGAATGATTGTTGTTGGACCAATTTGGTATCTTGATTAGATAACTATATTCTACAATCAAAACCATCACCAACAAAACTTGTTATGTTCCCAAAAGCATTTGGCTTAGTGTTACACATCTTAAATGGAAAAAAAAAGTTAAAAATCAAAGTACGTACCAAAAGTTTTCTGAAACATTATCCAGTGTAATTCTGTGATCCACAGGTGATTTATTCCTGTATTATGTAACCATTGGGCATGGTAGGTAGTAAAAATTGCATTGGGTGGCTAAAAAGGGCTGTTGCGTGGGGCGGGCTGGGAAGAAAAGAAATCTTAAGCCAGAGCGAAGAAGTTACTTCGCCTCTGGATTTGGAAGAATTACTGAAGGTTTTGGTGGATTTGCTATGTGGAAAAACTAATTTCAATTTTTTTGGAAGAAGTATTTTGATTAGGAATTCATTCTGAGAAGTCTGTGACCTGTATAATCCACAAACTGTGTAATGCAAAGGTTTGTACTGCCCTGATGAGGCCAGCATCATTAAAATGGAGTGCTGTACGAATTCAGCGGGTTTTTTCTGTTGAATAGACTCTGCTTCTTCATGTTTTTCATAAAGTGCAGAACACTGCCTTTCTATACCTAAACTGATCACAAACATTTAAAATTCATATAAACCAGATTCTGTTGGTGGAGAATCTTCTCCTATTTCGAGCACTGGGGAGTTGGCGTATGGCAAACACTACAGTCGTGTTCTTCGTGAAGAAGGCGGGTTACCTTCAAGCACAACAAACTACGAGGAACAGATCTCTAACAGTCCCAGGCCAAGTAAACAGTCAAGTGGATTATTACAAGAGGTGCTGATGATGACTGCTGAAAATTCATATGATTCAGGTGAGGAAATCCTCTTCCTTCAAGGACTTGCGTGAATACTGTTCAGCACTGCTAATTTTAGTGATGTTTATTTCTAGCATATGACCTGACTTGTTAAGGAACATGCAGTGCTATTTAAATACAGTTTCATTTTAAGTGTCAAAGTGTTTAAATAGGTATGTGTCTTAAAATGACTGCATTTTTATGTTTTTGTTCTTTTGTGATCCATTACCATTCTAGTAACAAAAGTCCACGCTGCAGTTAACTTCACTGCTAGTCAGTAGTTTCTCATCCAGGGCATGTGCTTTGTATGTGAACGCTGTAGAATTGCCTGTAAAGAAGCTTCTTTTGTATTACCCAATTGCCCTGCCCCTGCCAGCAGAATCCCATGCACAGGGAGGTACCTTCTGCCCAGGCTGCGGGCTGTTCAGGTCTGCAGCTTCATCAGGTAGGAACCTGTTGGAGTAGACGAGTGGTGTCCTATCTGGTACCCAGTGATTCCTGGTATTGACACAAAGGAAATTACTGCTTAAAAAGAACTCTGAAGTGTTAACATGCTCGGGTAGATGTCCACTGAAAGTTCAGTGAATATGGAAATGGCTTAAAATACAGCCAAGGCTAAAAATAGAAGGCTGTGTTATCCTTAGCTCGAAGGAACAGCTTGGAAAGAATCATCTGTTAGTTATGACAGGAATAAACATAGTGCAATAATGTGTGGCTTAGTTTAATGCTGATCTGTTCAGTTCTTCTGTGAAAAGCTCCTATTAGAGATCACATCTTTGAGGATAGACTGTGTCCGTATGGGACAGTCTGATTCCATAAATTAAACCAAGCTGGTTTGATTACCAAAAAAAAAAAATTATTGTTGTTATAAAGCAGTTTGGAAATGTGCAAAATAATTTAATTGCAGGGTTGATAAAACCTACTAAGCACGTTACGGGTAGCTTGACTGGCTTTATAGGAAGGACAGAGGTGGCCAGTCTTAGGTAAACAAAGCAAGTGGGTTGCCAACAAATTTTTCAAGGGGTTGGACTAACAAGTAGATGTCAAGGTTTTGAATTCCTACTGTTTGGTGGGGTTTTTTTCCTGCCTATACAAACTTAGCTTGTCTCTCCAGTCTTGGAATAACCTTAACTCAGAGGCTGCAGTACTTTCCATTGCAGTACATTTGCTGCTTTTCAAATCTCCTGCAGATTGAAATGCATTTTAGCGTGGCTGTAGAAGTGCTATGTTTATCTGGCTGGGAGCTGTTACACAAACCTTGCCAAACATTGATTAAAGTAATTTAGGGCTTGTTACAAGGCGACAGCATCTCATGGGCCAGTACAGACTTCAGTATCCATCTAAAATAAATACATCACTGGAGCTGCAAAGGGGTTTTCAGCAACTTTGCTACCTTGTACATACATCTTTATGAGCAATACAGCTATGTAGTGTGCACCTCCTGGTTTTGCTAGAAAGCTCACCACTGCTCCAAATATTAAGCTTTATTTTCATTTAGTTTGTGTTGAGACATCCTTTTCGATTCAGTCGGGGTTTACTAGAATTGAAGTTGGTTTGAATAAGTACTTATAAGCTCATTGACTTTCAGCTGCTTCCTTTAATTCTCAGAATACTCCTTTTGAAAATACCTATGTTTAAACTATCACTAAAGGATTTTTGTCTTTTTTTTTTTAACATTGTTTGAAGAAAGGCTTGTATCTTTTGAAGTTATCGAAGTGTTGCTAGATGAGCTGTTACCAAATTAATATGAAATGTCTTAGGGGGTAGCATCTTTTTAGATCAGTGAGTATTATGTATGTACAGTGCAATGGCTCACGTAAGAGGATTAGGAAACTTCATGTGGACATCTACATTTATTAATAAAAAAAGGTGAAGCTTTCTGTGATTATGTATTTAAGAGGATTGTCCTCTTGAGCAGTTCAGCAGCTGAAACTGTCAACAGTATCTTTGTAACTGGAAAGCCGTGAAGCATTCTGTGGCACTTTTCAGTTAATAGTGCAGTATCTTCACAAAGAAAATCTAGAGTCTGGCTTAAATACAAACTTTCTGAAAGGGAAATTTCAGGTGCATTCCAAGTTGTTACTTATGATAATAGCTTTGGGGAGTTTTGGTGGTGTTTTTGTTAAGGATTTTTGGGGTGTTTTTGTTGCTCTTGTTGGTTTGTGTTTTTTGCTACTTGATTTTAACCAGAACACATTTGCAGTTTTCCTGTGTCTTCAAGATGTAATTGTATCTCTAAAGGTGAAAGCAAATGAGTGTTTTGTTCATCGTGTTCAAGGCCAGGCTGGATGAGGCTTTGAGCAACCTGGTCTAGTGGAAGGTGTCCCTGCCCATGGCAGGGGGGTTGGAACTAGATGGTCTTTAAGGTCCCTTCCAACCCAAACCATTCTGTGATGCTGTGACCTTATTCTTTGAAGTTATGTTCTTGTTGGTTTCCACCTTTAATCAAGTAACATAAAACCTTACAACTGAGGAGTTGTACTGCTGTTGTGATTACAGAACCACTCGATGTGCACAAATCCTACTAAACACTGCTTACATTCTTTTTCAAAATAAAGCATTAAAGATAAAAAGGTGTATGTATATTGAGAGGTTCTTAAAAGGATAAACTAGGTAAATCTGTTTGGATACTTCATCACAAAGGTGAGTTTCCCTTTGATAGCAGACTTGTCCTTGGGTAACAGGCGATTTTTAAATTTTTATCTCTATAATTGGCTGTATTTCTTCCAATTATTGCAAGAAGAAAAATAACTTCAACCCTTCCAAATTTAGAGGCAGACATGTCTGAAGGTAAAACAGGTCTTAAGGATGACTTCTGGTTCTGGGAGGATATATTCCCATGCTCAGTATTGAGTGGTCACAAGTGCCACACAGACTGCTCGCCTGGTTGGCAGCCAGAGGACAGCTATCTGTTGAAGTGATGCTGCAGCAAGTGCCACCAGTGAGGCTCAGATTCGGATTGCTCTCTTACCATGCCACAGATGCATGATAAGATGATTTAGGAACTTTGCACACTAGATATTGATATTTCCTCTTCCCAGTCCAATTTAGTTAAAATGAGCTAATCATAGAATCACAGAATGGTTTGGGTTGGAAGGGACCTTAAGACCATCTAGTTCCAACCCCCCTGCCATGGGCAGGGACCCCTTCCACTAGACCAGGTTGCTCCAAGCCTCATCCAGCCTGGCCTTGAACGCTTCCAGGGATGGGGCATGCACATCATCTCTGGGCAACCTGTTCCAGTGCCTCACCACCCTCTCTGGGAAGAACTTCTTCCTGATATCTAATCTAAACCTCCCTGATTTCAATTTAAACCCCTTGTCCTGTCACTACAGGCCCTTGTAAAAAGTCCCCTCCCAGCTTCCTTGTAGGCCCCAATAATAGAACACAAATTGCTAATACAGTGTTGCAGAGTAAGCCTACAGATGAGACAGGCAGCTTGATGGCATAAGCCTCATTTCCTTAGGAAGTCAGCCTGAAAATAGTGACTAGATGTGATACATACGTGTCTCTCACAATTCATTACCTATCAACAGGCTTTTCTTCCTGTGTTTGTCTTCAGTGATCTCTTTCAGAGATCTCCTTTGTCTTCCAGATCTCGGTGTATTCATGTATTGCTACCCTACAGAGATGTTATTCCAAGCATGATTATTTTTCGTGCGAACCAAGCTAACGTAAGACTTCTGTTTGAGTAATCCCAGATATTTGTCCATAATTCATTATGGTCACAGATTGTCTTATCCATCACCTTTAGCCAAGTGAGCACAGAGTACAACTTTTTTGTCTATATAGTTGGATTTGAACTTACCCCTGGTTTGATATTGTCTTCACCGGGTGGTTTGTCCAGTTTTTCTCTCTTTCCAATTGCACCTTGAAATAATTGCTGCTATTTTACTGCAGTTTCTGTTGGGGTGAAAAAATGCATTCTGGATCTTACAGCCTCCATTTTTAAAGACAAATTTTTTTGTTAGAGAGTGGTGACTTTGGATGGCAGTACATGAAAGTCCTGTGCCAATGTCAGGAAGCTGTGAGGAAGGAGAACCTTGTTCTATTATTTTGGCGGGAGGAGAAGAGAATAAAAAACCCTCCTTTGAGTCACCATATACACTTTTTTTTTTTTAAGGATATGAAAATAATTAAGTCATGGGATATGAGCATGTCAGTTTTTTCGATGAAATAATTTGGTTTATAGCATGAAATTGCTACTGTGACCCCTTGTATTGATATCACATGCACACTGCAGGTTGTTACAGTATAGTAGTGAAGCATTGGTAGTGTAGCTCTTAGCATTTATATACAAGAGTATGAAATGTTTCAATCTAATCTCAAATGTGTCCCAAATTACTACCTGTCACACTGATGTCCTTCAGAAAATACGATAATTTCTTTAAGAAAAATAGCTACTCTTGATGTAAAGGTATCAGGAATCAGCTTATTCTAGTGTTAATGTTTTGTCAAATTCTAAAATACACGGTCTGTTTCCCGAATGCCTGACAGCCAGTTCTAGCCACTGCTTTTTTTTTATTACCTTTTCAGTTTAAAAATCATTTACGCTGGTTTTTTTTTTCTCCTATGGAGATATTTAAATAC